GCTTTTTAACGGTTGAGAATGTTACTGGCACTCATTTGGGGTGTTTTTGGTACTGAAATGAAGAGTATTGAACATTTTTGTACAAAAAGAGTTAATGATCTGCTTTTTTCAAATTTTTTTCAGGTTTTAAACAGCTCAAGATTGAAATTTAAATAAAATATTGAAAAATTTTGTTTTGGAGTTGTAATCTTGTTAAATATTCAAATTTTCAATTTTTTTCACTGTTGTTTACAGTGCAATTCGCAATCTTTCTACCCGCACATTTAGGGGTTTCCCGGTATCTTTTGGTTGAATCAAAGTTGTTTCTCTTACTCCCACATGAAAATTGGCTTACTGATAAGAGCCGAAACTATGTTTTTTGTTACCCTTGATTGCCTTTGAACTTACAAAACAGTTTTTTGCAAAAAGAGCGGTTGGAAGCGAGAGGAAGGTAGTGATAAAGAGTAATTGGGCAAAAAGTAAGGGATCAGATAGGGACGTAGTAGGAAAGAGTAAAGTAATAAAAAGATGATTAGAGAAATGTGGAGAAACATTAAAGTAAAGGTAGAGTGGATAGATAAGTAGATAAAAACAGTAGAGTAAGAGAGTGGTTAGAGAAAGAGAGAGAACGGTAGATTAATTAGAGAGTATATAGAGAAATAGAGAGAAACAGTAGAGTAAAGAGAGAGTGGTTAGAGAAAACGACATAAAGACTAAAACCAAAGTCAAAAAGAGATGACAGCTAAAGAAAGAAAGAGAATGCGTGATCAGTTATAAAGTTATTGTAGTAGACTCTTCTCCTTTTTCGGAGTTGGGGGTGGGTTCCATTCGAACCTGCGGACTTAAATTCGAAATGAATAGTAGGTGGCTGAAAGTTTTAAAAATATGTTTATTTTAAAACCGTTTTAAAAGCTTGAATTTTTGTTTTTATATTATTTTACACTTTGTACTGCTTTTACTGTTTGTAATTTACTGAGTAAAGAGTAAAAAGTTAAGAAAACCACCTTCATTAGGTTTAACTAAGCGGCCAAAGGTGTATTTATAAATAGAGCCTAGTGTACATGTTTATAAGAAAAGCTAATTATACGGTACAAAGTAATATAGTAACCAAACTGATCAAGTTGATGTCCCTTTCTCGTCAATTAATGTTCAGGTTCCGTTGTAACAAAGCGTGGGTGTTTTAGATTGTTTCGCGCTTTTGGGCGAATCATTTGACAAAAACTGTTCGCAATCTCGAGATTGGCGGAGTAGAACACCTTCAGCTTATGATACTTTGGAGATTGGGGGAATAGAACACCTTTAGCATATTTTGGTTTTTAATGTAATATTCAATTTGTGTGTGTTTTTGTGAGGGGGGGGAGGGGAAAGACGATTGTTTTAAAAAATTTTAAGTTTGTATCTTATGTAATGGCATTATGTGTATAATAAAATACAAATAAGCCTATTTTAGTTACTTTAAACAGTAAGACAGTGTAAAAGTAAGTGAAATGATTAGGTATATACAGTTAGAACTGCCTTTTACAATACGTGTATAACATTTTGTTTTGAAGATAAGTCAGAGTGTAGATGGTGGTCGTAAAAAGATTAAGCTAAAGAGTTTACCAAAGTGGAGGTTATTTGGCCTTGTAGTTTGATATTGTAATGACAAAGACGACTAATGTATGCCTTTTTGAAATAGCTAATGTATGCCTTTTACTTTGAGAGGATGAGTTTCGCAACAAATCTTCATCATTATAATAGTTCAATTTTGGCTTATATTGAATATGGAAAATAAGGCTTTCTATAACCTTTACGCGGTTTACGAAACTTTTTCGTAAAACATATGCGTTCTGTGCCAAAAACGGCAATTTCGATATTCCTTTTGTTCCAGAACTTGATTTGTCTGTCATAATTGGTAATTTTAAGTATAGAAATCGACGGCGCTAGGACAAATGCGGTTTTTGGACACTTGCGGATTTTGGACATTTGCGGATTTTTTAAAGGGGTTTTTTTTATTTTTTATTTAATTTATTTGTAGTATGGTACTAAATGGTACTAAAGTTTAAATTGGCACTGTCTTAATATTTCTTAATGTTAAATAGTACTAAATTTTTAATCGGTAATGTTTCTATATTTTTGGTGCTAAATAGTACTAAAAGCCCAAAAAGGTACTGTTATGTTAAAACCGTACCCATTCAAACTTTAGTACAATTTAGTACCATAATACAACTAAATTAACTAAAAAATAAAAAAAAACCTTTAAAAAATCCGCAAATGTCCAAAATCCGCAAGTGTCCAAAAACCGAAGATCCGCAAATGTCCAAAAACCGCATTTGTCCTAGCGCCAAATCGACCATCTCACTTTTTTTGAGTAAAATAGTAATTTTATTTAAATTGTTTGATCTTTTGACGCTTTTGCAACAGAATGCCAACGTTTTGCAAACACGTTTTGTGGTCTTTTAAGCTCACTTTTATACTAATCTGCAGTTTTAAATCATTATTGTCATGCTATAATATATTGAAAAAAGTCTAACAGTATATTCTTATCGGAAGTTATGTATTGCTATTGTAACATGAACTTTCAAATGTATTGTTGACCTATTTTATTGACTTTGCCTTTGCAACGACTGAGCTGATATTGTTCACCGTACTAAACAGCACATTTTTGTATATGGCTTTTATATACTATATAATATATTATGTCACAGTCCTCTTTCATTTTATCAAAGTACTCATCGTACGTACACTTGAGAAGTTGTATGAATCTATATTGCTCTTTTACCTATAATACATAACTATAATAGTACGATTAAAGGTAAGATAGTAAAATACAAACCTTCTCTATCAAATAACAATTCTTTGGCACACACCAATATCTCGAACACATATATAACGTATGTATCGTATATGCAAATGTTAGCATTAAAGATGCAGAGTGTATGTGTATAAACACTTGCTGGATATGTTTGGAAATGGTGTTTTGTTATTCATTTCTCTCACATCATTAGAACACGGTGAATATCTGAAAAGTGTGTATTTTACCATGAGTATCTTGTAACTGTTTCTTTTCGCTTTGGATTACATTGTTGTAGGAGGGGATGAGTCTTCGAACCTTCTTCAAAGAAGGAGTTCAATTCTTTAATGGGGGAGGGGAGTTCAATATTAGGGGAGAGGAGGAGTGGGTTGGGATTCAATGTAAAGAGTGGGGGGAGGGGGGGAATTGGGATTCAATGTAAAGAGTGGGGGAGGGGTAATGGTGAGAAACGGACTGCTTAGGCATGGCCCGGCACAGCCTGGTTCTACAATCGGACTAGACCGGCCTTGAGCTAAAGTAGAACAAGTCAGTCCTAAAAAATGGGTCTGGTTTGCAAACCAGGCTTGAAAAGTAGGCCCGGCTCAAAAAATTAAAAATAAATTTTTTGTTTGGAAGGGTACTATCTAGCTTAAAATAGGTCATATTTTCAAAAATTTTTATAAAAATAATGCTAAAGTGATATATACACCATGTCCTCTACTCAGAAGTCGCTCTTCGTTTAAGTAGGACAAGATGCCGTTAAAGTATGGGAAACTGAAGGCGGAAGCGGAAAGAAGGAGGTATGAGGGCGTGTGTATAATGTTTGAGTTTGTATTCTCACAGAGGATGCGTCTCGAGTTCACCCTGAAGGTGGATGGTACTGTAGTGGTACAAGGCAACTTGTAGCTGGGTTTTGAGGATGTTTTCGGTATGAAACGTTACGTCATTTTAGTTGTATTTAAGATCTTTTTGGCACTGTGCTAAACACTTTTGGCGTTTTTATACTGTACTCGTACTGTAAAGTTACAGTACTTATTTTGACCAGAATTGTTATAACCTATTGTATTGTTCATAGTATATTTTCTGTCATTGTAAGTGAATATATTATAGTTACTTCGACCTATAGCACTATATCACCTTTGTTTTACCACTCATACTAAAACGAAAAAGACGTACTACGACTTACAGTAACTCCCTCAACCACTCCATTGTATTATTGTAGCCTGACGTAGATCGTACGTCTAAGTATGTCAGATCTATTGCGTATAGCCTACAATACCCTCCAGTGCAACGTCTCATCTCCGGTGTATTATCTTTGCGCCTACGCTGTAGTCTTAATTACTGCCACCTTTACGTGTAATTACACCCGCTTACTACGTTGCCGCGAGTAATTACCGCGGCCCTAATCTGTGTGTAAATACCTGTAGTTTAGCCATGTCTTTGTCACTTTCGCTGGGAACCTATAATTTCTTACCGCGGTAATTCGCTTATCGTGCAGCGAGCCGCTAATTACAGTAGTTTTCGTTACTGTGACATGTCTACACTGTAATTTGTGGACAGTTCACATCATTACAATAATGTGGTACGTACGGGCACAAAGAGGCACAAAGATTGCTTTAGGGTGGCATAGGTTTGGATAGCATAACTTTGGGCATGGGTGATAAGGAGAGGGAGGGGGGGGGTCTTTTTTTAAATGTCGCAAGTTGATGTAAGAAGATATTTTGTATGTATGCTTATATCTTATTGTAATACGTAAACAATTTTGTCGTATGTTACATTTATCATCTTTGAGTTACGCTGTGTTTAAGTTATATACACGTCTCACCGTATAACAAGTCCCCAACAACACATTTCAGCGTATAACATGTCTGCACACGCTATTTCTGCCATTGTTGTAACACAGTACCTAAAAACAGTTTTGAAATTCCTTTTCAAAAAGTGTAATGCCTATTTCAATACAACATACCAATTAAAATACCTGTTTTAATTCACCATGCCCACTACTATTACCTATTTTAGTCCACCACACCTACTAATATTACCTATTTTTATGCCCGTAATACAGTAAGGCAACAAATTAATTAACTTTCGTGCTAACTTTCAAATGTTTCGCATTTTTGAAACACGCATATGACGTTTCGTGAATTACTTAAATCATTATGTTACACTCGCTCTTGTGTGTCTAATTTAAGTCATAGTAATTGTAAAGCCTAATTCAAGCCGTAGTAAAGTCATAATTTACAGAAATATGGACGGGCTGACCGTGGCCGAGCCAATGGAGCATCAAAACGGTCGAGGTGAGTTGGTTAACATGCTGTATATATTTTGTTTGTATACACCTATAGAGTTTTATGTTACAGTACATTTTTGATAGGTTTTTTGATATTACGTATCTTGTTACAGTACACTTTTAAGAAAGACAGGCTTTTGCAGTTTATCATAACAAAAGTTTACTTTTTTGAAAGATTTTTTACATTCAAGTAAAGTTTCTACAACCAAGGTATCTACTAATCACTAACAGCTATTAGTTTGTTCGAATGATTCTGTACTCCTAACCCCAAAAACTTGCGTTGAGAAGTGGCTCAGAATTTTTTGAACAACCTAATATTATAAGTTAAACCAAAAGTAGCGGGACACTTTTTATCTATTTTTCAACTAAAAAGTGTCCCGCTACTTCCGGTTCAACCATAATAATATTACTAACAAACTTTTACGTGCTTCATCGTTAAATCACCTTACCATATTATAGTAACCCCTTAATATAATGTAAATATAAAATTACAGCCCGACCGCCGATGCTACAGTTGCCCAAGCCCATTCCACAACGCCCTCCCAACCTCTACACCGGTCTGTCCATTCCAACCATCAACACTGATGGTCCAGCGATCAGTATCAACCCTCCACGACCTCGCACCCCACCCCTATCAGTATTATTCAAGCCAGATAATGCGGCTAGCGATGCGGATGGGCTTAAAATGCTCATGGTAAGAATTTTTTATATTTTTTAGACTAACTTTTAGGCTTAATATGATAATTTTTAGCTAAGCTAGAAGGTCAGATCAAAAACTATTCTCTATGTCTATTTCTACCTTATTCTCTTATCACTTTTAAAAAATTTAAAAAATAAAAACGTCATTTTAAAAGTCATCAAAACGTCACACTCAACCCCATGTCAACACAGACGAATTAACATGTTGTTATTTCCGTCCTAATGACCGATCTATTAGAGACGCCAAAAAGAACGGCGCATCCTTCCCTCCGCCGTTCCCACCGTCCCTCCACAGATAAACAAAAACGACTGATAGCACAGGTGTTTTAATGCCTCGGGGGAGTGATGTGAGGGAGGGGAACGGAACAGGTGTTGTTATAACCCTCATCCCGAGGCTTTCCTGGGATCGGGAGGAGAGTTGTCAATCGACCAGACGAGGCATGTTTTCCAAAATACGATTATTTATTTCCGAGAGTAGAATAGGTCAAGTCGGTTCGAGAGGGGATCCCGCGTTAAGTGGCATGTTTTTTATCAGCGTGGTCATGGGACTGTTTGCAAAGACATCCTTTTAGCTAGTCTTTAGCAAAAAGTCGTCTATTTTTAAACCGAAAATCGGTTTTTTTTGTTTTTGTAGTTTAGAAAGTAGAAACTTTGTCAAAAAATCATGTACTCGTGCTGCTATAAGCATCTAGTAAGAGGTTATATACGTTGACTAGAATATAGCGAGTTTTTCTTTTACCTGGTGTCTTTACTACAACAAGTTATACCTCTTGATCCTTATAACAAGTTTTTTTGAACAGAATTTCTGATGAAAACTTTTCAAATTTCTTTTATTTTAAAAAATGGTTAACCTTACACTGTAATATAAACTGTTTTTACAGACACCCCCTGTTATTTGTGAACAAGGCCCAAGCGCACCATCATCACCGACCAGTCCCGGAGGCAGTAGGTCACCAAAAAGGCCATCAAATCTGAGCGTCGATGCATTAACACGCGTCGATCTTGTAAGTTGCTTATCATTGTGTTTAAGTTTAGTCGGGATTTGCTTTTTATGAGTGCTAATTTAGTATGAACGTACAGAACGAAACTCTGAGATAAAATGAAATACAAGAGTATAACAACGATAAGAAACAATATACCATAATAATGAAAATATTGTGACTTACACCAGTATTATGAGTTTATAGTATCATAATTACAATATTGACCTAACAAATCAATATATCCTCAAAATTTCAGCTGTCTCCCTACTACGTTCCCAACATGGATATGAACAAACTCTCGCCTCTCTCCCCATCGTACCCGACTTCTGATCTAGGAAGCTCTCCCCGTTCATCAATTTCGATTTCAAACTCCGGTCTCGGCCCCAACTGGACGTCGTTCCGTGAATTGAAAAAGTGTAGCAGCGAGTTCGACAACGAATCAGTCCGTGACGGTTTCCTAACGCCAGGAACAGCCTTATCACCCGCACCGTTCTCACCCTTCTCCGACTGTCTCGATCCACCAGAAACGCCGTACTCAGGCCGATCGCCAGCACTGTCACCAGTACCTATGCGACATTCCCACTTCAGTTTCGACCAGATCCGAAGCCGAAGTTCAATGTCAAACAGAGGTCCGGAGAGTCAGGAACAAGCCCGGCTTCTGTTGCCACAGCCAAGTCTAGACTTGGAAGCTCGAGAACGGTCGCGGTCTGAAGGTGAAATGCTAAAGAAAGCGGCCGATGAGTTGATGGACTTGACGACAATCAACCACTCCACCGTCTCCGTACCAGTTTCATCAGTTGGAGGTCAGTACAAGAAGCGATTGCTTAATAAGTATCGACAAGAACAACAGTTAAAGGCGTCTTTCAACAGTACGATATCGAGTACGTGTGATGAAGGAAGTACGATAGCAGCACAGTCAAGTGTTGATCCTGATGACACAGATCGAAGTGCTAGCCAACAAGTGTCTCGACAGCCAACGATAGAAGAACCTCCGCCGTCTCCCACCTTCAACGAGCTTTTCCATTCGCGTGATGTAAGTTTTGGAAGTTTGAGATGGTATAGCGTAATACCAACGTTATTGTACAAAAATTTAATAATTTATCTATTTCTTACTGATAGCAACAGTAATAGTAATCAAAAAAGAGTCCTACCAGTAGTAGGATTAGCATCAAAAACCATAACATCAATAGCTTTTAGTTATCATTCGAACGCCAAGTCCAAGTGGAAGATTGGATAAAGCAACAAGCAGTCGCATTGGAAGTAATAAAGAATGCCATGTTACCAATGCAACAAGAGTCCAATCTACTACAAGTTCCCAACTTTGCCGGCCCTCCAGAACAACATCTACCACGATCACTCGTCAAGATGTTCACAACAGAAACTACGGCACCAGGCCCACTGAAAACGGCAACTTTATGGAGAAGATCACGGTCGGAAAGTGACGTCACACAACCTCAGAACGATACGTCATTCATATGTGAACATTGTGGACAGGTAGGGCTCTTTCTTGATTTTTTAAACTCAAAAGACAAGTTTTTTTTCGAACGTAAAAAAGTTTACCTACTACAATATAAGTAGGGAAAACTAGTAAAATATTAAAAATCTAAGTCTTAACTTATTTAAAATTTAAATTTTAGGGCTTTTCAATGCACGACCGTCTAGCCAAACACATTGCTTCAAGGCATCGTGACAGGTCAGCGTCGATGAACGACGAAAGCTCCAAAACCCATAAATGTACAGTCTGTAACAAATCCTTTGGCCGATCGGACATGCTAACGCGTCATATGCGACTTCACACCGGCCTGAAGCCGTACTCTTGTCAAATCTGCGGTCAGGTGTTCTCGAGAAGCGATCACTTGAGTACACATCAGAGAACTCACACCGGAGAGAAACCTTACAGATGTCCTCATTGCAACTATGCTGCGGTAAGCGTGCTTAAGTTAACATCTAGACCATAAACGACATCAAGCTATTCAACAAAAACATCATGCACCCCCACAAAAAATTACAAAATTCACTTTTAGAGCCGTCGCGACATGATAACCCGCCACATGAGGACGCATCCAGGATCAACCTCCCCCTTCACAGAGATTCAAGTACCGTTAGGCCAGTTATCGTTAAATCACCCGCCCACACCAGATCCTCCACGATCATCCACCCCTCCTCCAACTCTACAACACCAACATTCATTGCAGTCAGTGTTAGGTAACAATCAGATCAACACCCCTCAAACCAACCCCGATTCAGCCATGGAACAAGCGGCACGACTGTTCCAAGCTGCCGCAACTGGCAACATTTCGCCCCAACTTATGCTCAGCACTCTTGGACATTCGTTGGACAGTAAGTTTTCTAACTTTTTGTTACCTAAATTTTAAAAAATATAGCAAAACCTTAACTGAAAATCGAAGAAATCTCATATTGTTACCTAAAACCAGGAAAAAAAACAAAAATAATCAACTCCTTACCTAAAACAATATTCTATAATCAAAGTTTAAAACATAAAATTTCAGCTCAAATCCCATCGCTGAACATCCGAAGATCAACTCCCAACATCTTCCAATCCCTTGAACAAGCTCCCAACAATGCCCAAGCTTTGAACGCAGCGATATCCAAACTGTTATCACCTCAACCAACACCTCATCTGACACGACAAGCTTCGATAGGAGGATTCGGCTTCAATAACGATACGAATGGTCCTGGTTGATCACAACGAAGACAAAACCACTTGGCTAAAGTTGATAACAACATGAAAAACTAAGGAAATTTGAATTACGAAGCCAACAAAGTAAAAATGGGCTTACTATAAAAACTTTGGATGTATCAGGCCGATAACATCGTCCACACTAAAACAACTTGGTTTAAAGTCGTTAACAACTTGATAACGCGACCAACTAACTTATTTTCCGTCAGAATTCTATGTTATAGTAGACGCATATTTATGTTGTAGATAATATCATATACGAACAAACACAATATGTAAATTTAACTTGTAGTAGTTCATTCTTTCATGCCCTTTTATTACCTTACATTATAAAGTTTTGTTGTTGCACAATGCCAACAGATTTCGCTTTGATTCGAGGGCTTTGTTTTCGTGTCAAGGCTCAGAGCTTTGCATTGTGTTTCGAACAAAACCCAAGGCCAAACCGTCTCCGATTGTGATTAGTTTTTCTTACTGTACATTGACAATATCAATAATTTTCATATTTGTTTCGGATCCATCCAACACTTTAACCAGAGTTTTACTTCTTATTATATTTGTACAGAGTTTTATGTTATGTTATTGTTATGTAAAGTTATTCCGAGGAAATTGAAATAAATTTTCTTACAACTATTTGCTGGTATTTTACTTTATTGTTTTTAACATTGAAATGCGAGAGACTTTAATGTTTAGACAGTAATTTTATTTGATTTTTCAAGTGTTTTTTACCTAAAAAGCGAGAGAAATAATCGAGTTGTTACCTAAAAACGCAAAAACATTATTTTAGGTACCAAGATGTAGACTTTGCTCTAGACTACAAGTAGCTACTGACCATGTTTTTCCGGAATTCTTTGCCCGAAATTTGAAGCGGAAATTAAATCTGGTAGCCAAAATGTAATTTACCGAGTGTTTACCATCGGTCTACTTGTTTATCTTGTAAGTTTACGGCAAGTTGGTTCCTGGCTTTTGAATACCAAGTATGGGTAGCCTTTGCTCTTGGGTACGTATGTGGCATTATAGGTTGATACTGTTTCTGGTTATGAAGAAGTTACAGTAGATTAAGAATATGTTATAGTAGGTTCTTATTAGCGTTAATAAAAGAACATTTAGAGCTAATTATAGCTGGTATCTTTAATCATTTGCGTTTATGGTTAAGTAGAGCTACTGGCATTATCAGTCGTGTTTTATGGCCATGTAAAACTACTGGTGGATCATATGTTGACTATAACCATAGACTATTGTAAAATATGCGATTTTTAATATCTAATTAAGTAATTTTAAGTGTATTTATTTTAAAGGTCAAATGACTGTTGTGAAAGATTAGTAATGAAATCCCATCAAAGTTTGATAGTTTTGTCAGATCCTCGAATTGACAGCCGGTTCGAAGCGAACTTTTGTCGCGAAACGATGACAAGGAAGAGAGGTCTATGACAATTTGTGATTGAGGGATCTGGTTCAATTTATTATTTTTCTTGTTTTTTAGAGGTCAGCTTTGACCTTTACTGATTTGAAAGCTGTTTTTACAAGTTTTAGGGGTGTAAAATGATATTTTAGGTAACAAAATTAGAGTTTTAGATTTTACGATATTAAGGATTGTTAAGGTAAGCTATTAGGTAGTTCAAATAATTCTGTGCTTTTCTCAAAGTAAATTTTTGAGGTTAGGGGCACAGAATTATTTGAACAGCGTAATAGCTAATCTTTTACTTTTTTATTTTGAGTTTTAAGTGTTTAACTAGCTTTTAGCACTGTCTGTACTAACATAGGACGTTGTTTATACTAACAACTAGTGTTATCATAGTTTATTAATGGAATAAGCTATATGTCTACTCTATTGCTATTGGCTGAGTCATTGGCTTAATCCTTCTAATTTTACAATTAATTTGCTGACTTAAAGGTCCATTAAAAGGTGGATAATATGTGTAGGAAGCGGAGTAATTAAAGTAATGTTGCGTATGTTTACATCTTAATGTAAACTTGTGATTATATACCACTTTTAATCTTGAAAGGTTATGACAAATACTAATTTACTAATTTGTCACACGTTGGTATTAGGTATTTAAGACGTGGATTTACATTTGTTACTATACATAAGTAGTTGCATGTTGATGTTATATTTGTCGTATAAATACTCTTGTGTGATGAATATAACATATGAAAAGTCAGCTTGTGCTCTAGCTTTAGTTCTGGCTAGCCCCAGCCACATTCCCAGCCTAACCAAGCCTAATTCTAACCCTATCGCTAGCCACAGTTCGCGCTCTAGCTTTTGCTTTAGCTCTAGCTTTAACTCTAGCTCTAATTCTAGCTCTAGTCTTAGCCTTAGCTCTGGTTCTAGTCTTGGTCTTGTTAGTCTAATCCTAGACTTAACATTGGCCTTAGCTCTGATTTCAGCTTTAGCTCTAGCCCTTGCTCTTATCTTCGCACTAGCCTTATCCCTAACCTTAGTCTTAGTGATTACTCCAGCCCTAGTTTAAACCTTAGTTCTAGCTTTAAACATAGTATTAGCCCTAGCCTTAGCTTTAGAGTAAGTATTAGACCAAATCCTAGACCTAGGTCTAGTCTTGTCCTTAGCTGTAGTTTTAAACATAGCCTTAGCTATACCTAATTTAATCTTACTGCATCTTATTCTACCTTTTCTAAGCTTTTAAGTATCATCTTTGTATCGCTTTTTGCAAAAAAAAATAAATTAAAAATCGTATTTGAAAAGTTTTTGTATGCATCGTATATTGTTTACTTAGGGCCTTCATATGATGGCAATGGCCGTCTTGATGGGTTCAGACGTCGGTCGAGTGTTTTATATTTTTTATTCCAAAATTGTCATAAAATTGTTTTTTGACAAGGTTGATTTTGACATTCAGGGAACGCGGTAAATAACTTTTGGCTGTTCGGTTTGGGGCTGTAGTGGTCTTTGAGGGTTAACAAAGAGAGGAGGGAGGGGGTCAGGTGTAATGTCTTGTAGATAGGTCAAAAAGTATACTATAACATGTTAATATAACATGGTAAAAACGTTTACTTTACTTTAGACATCAACACTTGCGGTATTTGTCAACTAAAAACAAGATTGCTTTTACGTATAGTGGAATTTTTACTGCGGCGGTAGAGGAATTTGAAATATTTTTGGTCGAATTAACTGTAGATAACTTGACTTACGAAACGGTTTAGTGATTTTATAAAAGGCTGAAGTAATCGACCGGTTGGTTTCTATTTCTATCAGTTTTGTGACATTGTTCGACATGAAGGGTTACTTCATTATGGAGTTATATAAAGGAGCTTTGGGGAGTTTCTGTAGATTTTTCGAGAGTTCAAAAAGGGTTGGACCACTTTGAACTTTAAAGTATGGTGTAAAGGTTTTTAGTATGGTGTAAAGGGGATGGTAAAATTATGACAGTGTATTTTGTGAGGTTAAGAGGTTAGTTTGGGACCCAGAAGGCTGTAACTTTGAATTCTGCCGCTTTTATTTTGGCGTCTTGGAACGTTGACAGGACGTTTTAGCTAGTCAAACAATATTTTTGATCTAGTCATAATTTTTGTTTCTATTTACTTTTAGTAATAATATTTATCAAAAAAATTATTCTTCGAGTTAAAGGTATAATTTTTAAACGTACAGTATAACGAATTTGCAGGGGGTTTAAAATTTGTTCGTTATGAAGAGGTTTTGTTATACAGGAGTTTTAAACGCAATGTGTAGTGTTCGCTGGGAATTCAAAAGTTGTTCGTTATATAGGAGTTCCTTATACTGAGTTTTCACTGCATAAGAATATTGAGTGTACAGTACCTTGAGCCAATGCTATTTCACAGTTTTTAAAAATATTTTTTCCGGTAACTTTTTATGCTCTTTTATTATATGTGTATGTCTTGTTATAAAAGCCATGTGGTATTTGGTGCCTTGTTTATATCATATAAACCGTTGAGTCTAATTTGTTTTATCTTTGCAGTTCGTAGTATACATTCTTGTAAAGCTGGCTTAAATTGATCCAATTATATTTAACATTGTTATATAATCATGATGTGTACATGTTTACGTTATATTGTAAATTTTATTAGTGGTAGTTTTTAAACTGTCTGGGTTACTATAAATTGTTTATATAAGTACGGTTCCTTTACTCATAGCAATAAAAATTTAATTTTAAACTTCATTTTTGTGAAATTTTTTGAAGTTTAAATGTCGCTTTCAATTCTAATCGAAACTTTTTAAAGTCATAATGACATTTGCTAAGCCTGAATTACATCTCGTAGCACTTCTAAGCCTAACCAATCTTCTCAACCTCAACCTACCTTATAGTAAGCTACCTTTCGTATGTTGTGTATGAATGTATGCCCACGTTCTGCCACTTTATTCTTTGTGCTGACGCAAAAAGAAAGGGTTCAGGGTTATAAATTGAAAATGAACATGTTCTTGGTGGTATTTTGTCACTTCGGACAAAAGAAACATTTGGCCTTTAAGGGGCTGGCTTTAATGAATAATTAGCTGGACCACACATCATCCAAGGCCCGACCAGTCGGGTTCAACACTTTTAATTCTTGGTTTTGTACTATAATATTTTGTACAAAGTTGGTTTTTATATTGTGTTTCAAAAAAAAGTTTGGTTTTTTACCGGGTTTTGTATCTGGAACTGTTTAAAATAGTGTTCTTGGAAAGAGGGTTGAAGTAGTTATAAATGTACATATTGTTGATGGCATTTTGTGGTACAAAGGTTAGTTTGTACGGTTTTTTTATTAAAGATACTTTACAAGGAAAGTACTTTACCTGTCTCACTCAAAACCAGCTCAAAGTTTTTATATGAATTCCTTGTGATACTAATAGTACTGACAAAAAATTTTAGCGTGCGCTTTTGAGTTTACTGTATAAAAATTTGAGTTTCCCGCTAACTTGGAAAATTTGGCGTTGTGTTTGTAAGCAGCTTTTTTGACTTCCAGTTAAGCTAAGCTTACAAGATTTAAAAATTCAAGTTCATATAAAGGTTTTATACTAGTATATCTTAGAAAAACCATTAAAAGTCAGTTCAATA